TTTAGAAGTCATGATGATATTGAATGAAAATTTAGTTCCAGGAATTTTAGTTATTGACTTATGCAAGTTATTTATTTTATACCATGATAAGAACTGGCTTAAAATGATATCTATAGTAAGGCATTACGGAAATTCATGGCATGAGTATTATCATTCAGCCCAAGAAAAAAATAATCATCCATTTATCTAGCATTAGATTATTTTTAGGGTGGATAATAAACGTTTCTTAGTAAGCCCTTTCCTATCTGTAACAGTTATAGCACTTGGTGCATTTTAGATAAAACCGGCCATTTAAAAAACATTAAAATTCCTTCTGTTTGTGCTATAACGTTTTGTAAGAGACTGAAAGATGTAATCATTGGTGTCTGGGGACGGAGAGAAAAAATTTAAAGAGAATGCCTCTAGTGACTGTTGTCGTCAGTCTGTGGTTCGCCCTCGACGGAAATGCCTCCACGTACACGCTGCAGTTGCCTTAAATCACTGCTGCAAACGAGGTGATTTATATAAAAAATGAGGCAATTTGTTTTTTCTAAAAGGTGGTAAAAAGCGTTTACTACACACCACGGTTAATATTTGGGTGACCTTACATTACTGAGCGCGAACCTTTTGGACAGAGTTTCACGTGATGGGGGACATTTTGTGCTTTTAGACGGAAATCAAAGGAAACATTAACGCTGTATTTTCCATTTTAGATTTTTATTAAGACATGGAAGCTGAATTCTTCCCCTGTAAAAATTTCCCTTAAACTTTTAAAAATGAATAAAATGTAAATTGAAGGAACCCAGAAAACAATTAGGAATTATGGGTGGTTAGACAGAGAGTAGCCTGTGTGGGAGTACCGTTTTATCTTATATGTTGCATTCTGTTCAAACCAATCGAAAATAATAAATTGATAATTATATCAATAAAATAAAAATAAATGTTTATTTCAAACTGTCTTATTGCACATATTTATTTAAAACTATGGAAAATAAATTTTATTCCGTCTAATTTCTACTAGGACAGATGACGTTATTGCAAATAGCATGTTGCATGTTTTCGAAGTGAAGAAGTACGTGACATGTGATTGAAAACGCGTAACAAGAATGCCATGTGGAGAAAATGTGGTCTAAATGACATACAATATATCTTATTGATATGTTTTGAGTTGAGAACTCGCGAAAGTGAAAGTTGACTAGAATTTTGTAGGATTTCAACCAGACCTGCCCCAGCAAAGATCTTTGATTATGTTTGTGTCAAAATCCCGTAAAATACCCCTTAAAACAACAACCTAGTTACTTTTAAATAGTAGTTAAAAGACCAGATGCCCAAACTTTCAGTTCTTCCCTTAGCTGTAAAACGGCGTTAAATCAAAGGATAAACAGAATGCTGAAAGTCTGGTTTAAAAAAGAACGTGGGGCAAGCTAGGTTTTGCCTGAATTCGTCTCCTGTCGGCGCTTTTTTTTCGGGAGGGGGGGGGGGGGAAAGATGTAGCTCTGATGCTGAGAGAGGGTCACGTGCCTGCTGTGCCCTCCCCCTGGATTCACATATATCTGGTAGCTGCGCACTATTCAGCTTTGTAAGTTGTCGCGCGCATTATCGGAATACAGTTGCAGAGGACGTACTTGTGACGATTTCATTACATTTGTTTAAAATTATTTAATCCATTATGTGGCTTTTAGATTCCTTAACCGAACAAGTTGACAACCGAGCGTGGATAGAGTCGTTTCCTAGTAACGGATTAGGGTTGGGTCCCCAAAAAATCTTGCTTTATTCAAATTAAGGATAAATCCGTAATAATGCATTAAAATGCATGCACCGTGTATTTTCTTTTCTTAAAGCAGGAGCAATATTTCATTTAGCAGACTTCCACATTTAAGTAAACTTACAGTTGCTATTTTCAAATAAGACCACCTCTCGGTTCAAAGTTGTCTTGTGGGACCAGTCTAAGCTGTGTTATATTGAAAACTACTCACTCGTTTTGCAGTTTCTTGAAACTATATCATTCCCCAAAACTTTGTCATTCCCTAAAATGCTGGAATAGACGCGAAAAATTTAAAGAACAATGACTAAGCATATCTTTTGATAGAAAAATTTATGTATATTATGAACTAAAAATGTAATGCTTAACTCGACCCTATACTTGTTTGCCCATGCCTACGAATCCTAGCGTAGGAACGCGCCCTATCGCTCAGATGGAATTCCCGGTTGTCCTCTTGGAGTATCCAGATTATTCCCGGGAGTATCCAGATTATTCCCGGATGTCCTCCTAATTATTCCACAGCATTTTGTCATTTGAATACTGGGATTTCGAAGATGATCTTTTCCAGGAAAAGAACAGAAAGACAGGAAGAGGTTATCATGATTCTTCTATTTGATGTTGACATTCTGAGGATGTAAGGCTGTATAATTTTGGAAAGTTTTTTTTTTATTTTCCGAGAGACATTAAATAACAGATCACGATTTTTCTTGATATAATAATAATAATGATTATCATTATATATTATTGCTATTTTTATATTTTGTGTGAACATTGTTTGCTGACTCCTTTCCATATCTGTTCATTTTACTCTGTGGTAGGCTACTACTAAAAAGTCACCTTCACAAATATTTCATTGGATTAAAAGCTTTTCTGTTTGCTTTCACAATTTTCCATTGGTCAACAAATTCGAAAACATTCAACATAAACACGTTTTACACCACTTTTACTTAAATACAAAACTCAATATATGAGAGATGTTTTCCCTAGATCCTCTATCAAAAGGCCGTCTGGATTCTATGGCGAATCGGGGGGAGGGGTAGGGGGGCAAGGCAGCTAGAGACGTGTAGCCCTAGCATCGAAGATAGCCTTTTTCCCTTTCAAAATCTAATATAAAGACAAAAAAATCTTTCTATCTATGTGTCCTACATGTACATGTTACAATTAAATTAACACTTTCTGCTATTTAAATTTGAAAAGTTTTATATCCATGAACCCTTATTCTGATATCTGTTTAACCCTTAAAGGATCTTTAAGGGCCTACCCACGACTTCCCTTCGGCAAACCCCCCAGATCCGCCAGTGGTCAGGATTGGCCGCTGTGTCAGTGTGTGTCTTGTACGGGGTCCAGCTTATGAGGACTTCGTGGTCGTAGCTAGGATGTTGGACCCCAAGTTGTGAAGAGAATAATGAGCTCTGACATGGTAAGGAAAGTGTTGGTCGTCCATCACAAAGCAGCCGACATCGGGTTCGGGGTCATTTTTATGCCCTGAGGGGATTACTGATGAGTGTTATTTGTAACGATGTAGATGAATAAAATTTTGACAAATATAAAACAGTAGACGACGGAAAAATCACAATAATATGAAGAACACAAAACTGGTAAAATCTCTCGAGTAAGTCGCGTTTCGCACGTGCGCGCGTGTTGCTATGGAAAAATTAAAAGGATAAAAAATTAAGAAGACGGCATGTATTCATCATCTACCTGGACCACAGTGCCATTTTTCACTAGTTATTCACAGATATTGCTCTGACTAATTCTGCGCACATTTCAGTACTGTCCAGCGATAACATTGGTACAGAACTGACGTCACCACCCTGCTGGCCTCTGGTAGAGAGTAGCACAATAACCCATTGGTAACGTTTCAGATAGAGTGAAAAACACATTTTGTCTTCTCTAACACAATCCCATGCCTGTGAGATTATCGAGGCATCCATTGGATCCGTGGAATCAGATTGCAAAGCATCAATCTGCCTGACCACCTGATATCAAGTATAATGACTGGTTGTTACTGCCATAATGATTTCATTACGCCAAAATCACCAGGGCGGTGTGGAGATCCATTTTTTGTGTCTATTATGCGACAAAGTCTCTTATGATTTTCATTTTGTTTAAAAAAAGTTATTTTCTGTTATTTTCCGGAGGGAATGCGTTTGCCAATAAAGAAATGACGGGATTGAGCCAGCCGTGCGAAGTTTGAACGCCAGTGCATATTGTGCCGTGTCGTACCTTTTTTTTTATTACTGACAACATTGAATTGTTTTTCAAACAATGGCATCAAACAAACGTTTGTCTACAGAAAAAGCCGCATACATGTATGAAAAAAAACTTAATGTGGGCACGTAAGCTTGGTACGGTGTAGTTTCATTGATTTTGGTGTTAATTTCATATTCAGTCCAACTCTTGATGGTATAATCTGGTTTAAAGCCCTTGTGTAAAGATGTTGATTAAAAAGGTTAATTTAGCTTTGCTTTTCAGCGCTCGGAAAAGTGTTTATTACTACCATAGCGGATGAATGTTAGTGCTAAAAATTACTCTGGTAGTGGTAAATATTTTTACGATGTGTTGGTTAATTCGTGGGTTATGTGGTTAATATGGGCGTAAGTGCTAAAAGATCTTCGGGTAGTGTTAGTAAACGCCTAACCCGTTTATAAAACCCGTGTCTTTAAAAAAGTGCATTTTACAACTTCCACGTTTTTCAAACTGAATAGTATGACAAGAATAGAACATGTTTAAAGGCATGAAGCGAAAATTTTACATAACTCAGCGATGGAGTTACATAACTTTTTCGTAGCAAGTCGGGCGCTTTTTGTATCATATTGAAGCCGATCTATTTCTTAAATATACCAGGCCTGACACTTAAGAATCGAACACATTGTGGGCAGATAATTGAAATTCTAGACGACGAGCAGTACACCACCACAACAATAGTGGACTCTTAGCTGGGTAGAACCCATCAAACTAGCATGGGGCACCATGGGTCCAAGCTGGTTGGGATTGGCATTCAGACCGAGTAAAAAGAAAAAGAAAAATCTGCTTGCTTGACCGGCAAATTTTGCGACAAAAGACACTAAAAACAGGAAGGCGATCGATGTTCGTTTGATTGTGCGCTTTCACACAAAGAACCGCCCCGTACGCCATAAGGCAATGAAAGCTGAATTCTATTCTAAATATAAACGGCATACATATAATATGTCTAATTTTATTCGCTTTTTTTAAAAGCGCTTTTTGAAAGAATTAAAGAGAACGGCAGTAGGTTTGAGAGATTTAGAAAATTGACAAGTTAATGAATAAACAATTTTACGTCAAAACTAAGCATTTTGAACAAGGGCAATACAATACAGATGTAAAACGCCTTTCAAAAACTTAATTTTACTAAAATAATACAAGCTGCTGAAGAACATAATTGAAAGATTTCATTAAAGGCAATGGCCCTTAAGCATCTCAAATTACTAAGTAACCAATCAAATTAACTTTGTAAACTTTAAGAACTATATCGTTATATCTGCATCTAACATTAATTTCCTCCCAAGGAATGAGAAAAACATCATTGAAAGAGTTGGGCATCGTTTGGTTTGTCTTTTGCGCTGAGGTAAATGTGACGTTTCCTATCAACAGTGTATTTTGTGACGTGTCGCACCTGTTGATGTAGAAGTCAAGAGCATCGAGCAACGACACCTTTGATCAACAGCACCACATATTTCAAGTCTGTTTGGGGGTTAAACCCTATCCGACAAACTAACGTTTCACAAATAATCTGAACGTGCCGCTTATCTAGTTCTATCGGCCATTAAATTAACCCCTGAGTCTAATGTGGATTGTGTTACGATGATTTTGCTATTGGTGACAATACTTTATCATCGTTTAGGCATCTCGATTACACTTATTGAGGGCCAGTCATTCTTAAAAGCTTTTATATGTTGGATCAGTATCGGAAAGTCGATTATGGCAGCTCTAGCCCAACCAACGAGTTTTATAAAGCTGTACACCACGGAAGTAGCTAGTGGCAGCAGCAGCAGCAGACGACAGTCAAGTAGCCAGTCTAAAGTGTTGGCAAGTCATTTTGATTTGCGAGTAATTTTCATCCAGGATTTCCCCTATTTTTCTGAGTTATTTTCACTGTAAAATCCATGTATATGGGATTAACAATAAAGCTTAGTATTTTGTGTTCTACGGGCATCTTTACTCTTATTAAACTTTTAATTAGGAAAGTATTGTTTTTCACTTTCTCCATTTTAATTCTTATTTTTCTTCTCATCCCTTTTCTTGTTCTCTTGCTCCGTCATCAGTTGTTCAAAATCCCTCCTGAGAAGAGCGTCGTCGTGCTTGGTGGCGGCATTGTTATGGAGCAACTGGACCAGCGTTTTCCAATCTTCCTCGATGAACGTGCGCACGGTGACGTGCTCGCACCTCCACAACGCGTGCAGTTTCTGCACGTGCTCCGGTTTGCGCACGGCGCAATCACAAGGCAGGCCTTTACACGACGGTCGCGAAATCTCATACAAGCCTCTAAACACTATCTCTAAATCAATCGACAGCTTCTTCTCGGTTATCATTCTGCTGAAGTTCAAGAACAGGGAGCTGCAGCGGGCGCAGGGGGACCAATTCAAATAAAACCGAATTTTCTGGGGTTTCAGGCTCTTGATGTTTTTTGCCAGGAAATTCACGGCCTGCTCCTCGGCGTGGCCATCTTGGTTATCAGTAAAGATGAAGGAGCGAGGCAACTTCTCTAACGTGCACTTGAAAACGCAATAGCTGTCCGTCGGCCAGTTTCGCTCAGGGAAGTGAGGCCCGCTCCTTTCAAAAGTGTCCATGATGTCGGTCGCGGACTCGAAAAGAACAGAGTGCACAGCCATGGCGGTGTCGGCGGCACTCACCGAATTCATCGGTGTATTCTTAACGGGGAAATGATGTGATCTGCTTCTGCCTTGCGTCACCAACTGTGGGACAAGAAGAAGAGGGAAGATGGATTGTTTAACTCCAGTTGTAAGAACACTGAATATATTTCCATTCCCCTTTTCACTTTCAAATTCTTGTCTACGCTTTTGATCAACATGGTTAATCTTTGTACGGAAGTTTAAAAAAATTGGTATGAAATTCTATAAATTGACTAGTTAAGGCAGAGGCACTTCAAATGTAACGACTTTTCTTACTTTGATTGCGTGATTGCCAAGCGACAAGTAGCAGTATAAAGTGAACAGTTTTTTTTTTCAAATTTGAAATACTGGTTTGAAATCACGGCCTTGTGGCACCTGTTTTTTTTTTTTCAAAGCTAGCTTCAATACATACACCAAAATAAGTAACTCAAAATCACAAGCAAATTATCAGACCACTAAAAAAAATTCCATTAGGTTTCTGATGTTATGCCAGTGGCAAGATTTCACGCCCACCCACCTGAATCAAACAACTCCTGTAAGGAAAATCAAGATCCTGCCAACGACTTCGGCGCTTGCTCCCCTTATACCCTCCGCCTTCCACTCGCTGTGTATCACTGACGGACAGACGCCTTTTAAATCCCAATATATAAAGTTCTATAGTATACCGTATAAGCTTTCCATAGACCCTTTACAAAAATACAGGAAACTTGTTCCAGGCCAGTTAACACAACGTGCTGGCAGGGCAGTTGTTGTGGAACCTGTTCCCATATATTGAACCTTCAATCGTGACATCTTTAATGCACGTCTCCTTCGTTAATATGGTAACCTTCAGTCTTCAATTAGAAGTCGCAGGAATATTCCACCCCCATAAAACCGGTGCTTATCTCAGCCAGGTAATTCTACCTGGGCTAGACCATGGCGCGTTCTTTAGAGCATGAAGAAAATCCCAAAGAAAAAATGGAACTATTGTTAGTGAGACGGTAAGTTTTCTCTCAAATATAGATCATTGCTGCTACTAAAAGTTATTATTGAGCTGCCTGCTGTGTTATTCACTCGAATATGTATACGTTTTTTTTCAATCAGCAGTTATGCTAGAGTAACAATGAGGGCTTTGAATCTCAATGTGAACNTCATACACATACACACACACACACACACACACACACACAAAAATCACCTTTCATACTCGATATTGTTGCACAGTGTACCAGAAGGACACTGCCTAAACATTGAAATCGGGTGGCAAATAATTATGTATATTTCCTTTCCAACGAACCTGAATTTAATCGAGAAGATCGAAATCAGAGCCTATATAATGAGCTGCAATTGCAGTTCACATAGTCTGGTCTTGTTATCTGATGTATCTCTAAGTCCACCAGTTAGTTAAGTGGTCAGACAAGTGCTCTAGCTGGACAACTAGCTATTATTAGAGTAAACGCCCGAGACACTGATACGCGATAAATCATGAATAAACCAAATGTCCGCAACCTTTAAGTTTGTTTAAATCTGTATGTGTCTGCAGTGCCCTCTAAAAGGTCCAGAGATTGATTTCTGATTGAGTTTTGATTGATCTTATAATTCACAGGTGTATCTCTGCCTAATTGTTGACAGTGTTCAGCAAGGATTTTTGCAAGGAGCTAATATGAATAGAACGTTCTAGCGACCTCTTCAGACTTGCATAGAGTATGTATGCATTCCTTGTGGACCCTGTCATCTTTCATCTTGGAAACGGTCTATTACAAGGAAAGGCGCCCTCTCTTTCAATTTCACCAACGATTTCACTTTAAATATATACGATCTCGAAACAAAGCTACTAAAGGGCAATGTCCCTCAAGACACCTACTTGAATTGACCCGTTTTGTGCTTGTGTACACTTTATGCACTAGAAACCACAATGAAATTACAAGGTAAATATATGCTACATGTAATTAGCAATAGGTTGCTGTTACCTACTTCACGTATTTGTAATTACGGTCAAGTCAAAGTTGATCCAACGAACACTTACTAATCTGGTGGCAACAGCAAAATGAATGAGAAGTACCAGAAATACAGGCAGATTTGACTTGGGGTGCCATATTTAGTCGGCGGATCTGTTAGTACTCGGATCATCTATTCTGAATGGCCCCTTGAATACCTGAACTAGACACCGTAACGGTTGTTTCTAAGATAATCTGTGCTGATATTACTAATGGAAGTGTTCTAGTAGAATGAGCTAGTATAATGGTCGCTAATCGAGATGTAAATCCGTCTGCTCGGTAGTAATAACACGATACTGTAAAGAACACAAGATCTTGACAAATAACCTGCGGTGAAGTACTTCTATCAGTAATAATTGGAATCTAATGAATTAAGTGTGCCCAGCCAAGATATCCAACAATCAGCTATAGCCGCCGAGTCGAGACGACTCTAAGTGCAGAGCATCCTCACTAAACCAATCGAAACACTTGTATACAAACTGTAACATACAATAAGAATATATATGACCGTTAACTATACTTTCTGATATCACAGGGGTCTCTTGTGTAGTGTGCAAAATTGAAGAAGAGATTCAACAGTTTTATAAGAGACTACTACTACAGTATCTACTCCTGTGGCCAGAGTCTAACTATATGAACCTTGTCAGCAATAATAAACAACCTGCTACGTTGAAAGATGTCTTTCCTCTGCGGGTTTGACTAAGCATTGGGACAATCACGGATAAGGCACCGTCTCAAAAGGAGTTTGTCGAGTGAAAAAAACAACCTTAAGCGAATTTCTGAACCAAATGAACAGACATTCAACTGTTGAGGCCGCCCCTCACCATTAACATAATTAAAGTTAACTTTCAAATTTCAATTTTAGGTGATACCCTTTTAAACCCTTGCAGCGCAATTAGTCCGGCAATTGGTGGGCTTCCTGTCCCTTGTAGTGGCGGTGTGATAAATCTTGAAGGGGTGTGTACCTTCAATCCGTTCTTTCTTCTCTTCGCTGCATCTGCTCAACTGTGCATCTGCCCACCGCGGTATTACTTGGCCTTCGACTATACCACAGCTCCAAATATTCAAGTTAACTGTAGAAGCAGTAAGTATTTTAATTTGGATGTAAGATTCCGCTAATGTGCCTCGTTTTAGACCCATATGAATCTCTATTTAATTGTTATCAATTCGTTTAGGTCTTATTGTTTTATTTAAAAGAAATCGGCTTTAGTACTTAGTACTCATCTCTTGCGTCAAAACATTGTTTCTAGAAATGCATGCTGCAGCTGAATGTTAATATTGCCGTTTCCTCCATCCCTCCGGTTTCATTATTCATTTTGGGTTCGTTGCCCCTCGCTCAATTTGTTTCTAGTAATGTTTATTGAATGCTTCCGTTTCCACAATAAGCTAGTCTAAGCGCGTAAGCTTGTGTCTCATAACTTCAGAACCAGTACAGCTAAGACTGGGTTCCCACAGATTTAGATCGATTCATCTAACTCCGTGGGGGTTCACGCTAAATTGCTGTCAGCCGAGCGCGCACGAAAGTTAATTACCCCCCTTACAGCCTTTAGTAGGGGCAGACATTTAAGCCGGCTAAGCTGACAGCAATCTAGTGAGACTCCCCTCGGGGATAAATCAATCTATAAATCTGTGGGAATGCAGTCTAAGATGATGGCATATAGCTAAGAATACTAATGCACCATTCGCACAGTCTACACGTGCATACTTAGTCTACATTCCCATTAGTTTAACTCAGCTCTGTTCTGCCAGTGAAAGTATCATTAGCATGTAAATTCTTCCAAAAATATATATATAGAATTTCGATTATATTTTATGAACTTTATACCGACGTTTGAATGTTTTTTCTGTGATAATTGAAAAAAAAGGACGAATTGGTTTCTCGTTAAGCTCGCACACGTACTATTAAGGTGCAGCAACCGATCACAATCTACTGTCTTTCTGTTCCGAAATATGTACGCTCAAAACCCTTTATCTCTTTAACACAAAACTCTTACAAGCTAGTTTATCAGCTTATGCTTTGGGTGCATTCATGACATATTTTGCTTAATATATATTTTCAGTAACAGGCTCACCCTGCCGGACTGATCTGGATTGTAAGTCGAGGACCATGGACTGTTTGGGTATATCATCGTTCAGCCAAGTCAACTTCGATGGCAGCGGCCTTATGTCTCCCATCGCCCAAGACCTTGTGGACATTCTTTTGGTAACTTCACGCTTTTAGCTTGAGTCACGTATCTGTGTATTTTAGTCTGATTATATGAATTCTTTTAGGATGTGTCTCATTGCTCTCTCTAGAGTGGATTTCTTGTTTTAAAAAAATTGAACTGTATGTTTAATGCAAACGAGGGTTGTGACTTCAAGTAAATTAAAGTATAAAAAATTAAAAGGTAAATATTCTTAGAAGCTCTTAGAATGATATCATAAGATATACATTAACTAGCCATGCTCACACAAAAGTTAGTGTTTACGCAATCAGCAGCTAGTAATGCAATTGTTGTTCATGCTTTTCAATTTTCCATCTAAAACATCTTTATCGGGGAATGAAGCTCTCCAGGAAATGACCTCTATTCAGGGAATATTAAAAGCAACAATTTCAACCCTAACTGCTGATTGAAGAAAAACCGTTATTTTATTCTGAGCGCATAACACAAATTCGTTTCTGATTCCATATTTCCACATTTCAGCCGGTTGCAACTCTGCTATGCGGCTTTAGTGATTTATACAGGACGTCTAGTATACCCCTCTTTTCTTGTAATGGGGTCTCCTCTGGTGTGATAGGCCAATGCCAGGAAGTCAAAACTACCCGTAAGTTTTAAGTAGTTTTCTGTGATATAGTAAGAAAACGAAACATTTTGTTATTTATTTTTTTTTATCTCCAAAGGAATTGTTACTACATTTGTTAAATAAAGCGATTAGTGTGATAGATATCAGAAGATATTCATTTTCAAAATATCAATATTCCACGCTTCAAATATTCACTTCATGATACTCGTGAAGATGTATTCAGAACAAATATCGAAATCGAAAAAAGGGCTTGATACATTTTAATGGCTCAGTTAAGTTAATAGTTGATAGTAGCCAGGCATTAAATGGAGAGTGTTGACAATGGGATAAAGATCAATATCATATAGACTGGGTTCCCATACTTAGATCGATCCATCTGGATCGACCTAACTCCCTGGGGGTTCATGCTAAATTGCTATCAGCTCAAGAGGCTTAAATGTCTTCCACGCCTACCAAATCAGATAGGGGTAAAGATAATTACCCCCTAACAGTTTTACTAGGCGTGACAGACGTTTAAGCCGGTTAGTTTGATGGCAATTTAGCGTGAACCCCCAGGGAAATAGATCGATCCAAATATCTGTGGGAATGGTCCCATAGTCATAGAGGACTCCGCGCCAACTGTTTGCCCACTTTGCCTTTTAAACCGCATCCTTTGAAATGTACACCATCTAATCGAGCGAGAAAAAGAGGAACCTTTTAGTGACGTCATCTTGGCATCCAACGTACAATCAGTGAATATAGCCTAGATGCAGAAGAGGCACGGTGTCTCTTTCAGGCCATTATTATTTTCATTTTAAGTTGCATACTTAGTACACACAGATTAATAATTACATAGCCTCAATGAATTGCGTGTGTGTAAAAAGAAATAACAGTACTAGATACATGTACATGTACATCTGCATTCTTTTACGCATGACTTAGTCTCGAAACACATGTTCATGTTGATATCTCTCCTCTCTTCATAAAACAGATATTATGGTACGTAAAGCTTCTGAATTAAAACATAATTAGATGACAAATACATTCACTTTATTTCAGCATATGTCTAAATATACTGTATAAATTAATCAAATGTTTTTCGAGCTGAGAAATGAACTCAAAATCATATAATGATCAGATGTAAGGGCTTTATTTCATTTCAGTCGTGCGTATTCGGTCCGAAAACTTTCCCGACCGTACTTGGGGACTTGACCAAAACGGCGACGCCTTCATCAATCAGGGATTCAGCGGCAATATTTTCTACGTTGTCCCAGGCTTAACAGGACAACCAGGAACAGTGTCCTTCAACTCCGTGGAGTACCCGTGCTCCTATCTCCGTCACTTTAATTTTGCGCTGAGACTTGAGAGCTCACAGAACCCAGCGAATCCCGAGATTTACAACGAGGACGCCACTTTCTACCCTCGACCCAACCAGTTTATCCCAGGGTTTACAGCTTACGAGTCGGTGAACTTTCCTGGCCAGTTTATCCGCCATCTTGGCTTCAGGCTGCTTTTGAATACGAACGACGGCTCTCCGTTATTCGCGAGAGATGCCAGTTTCAGCATTGAAAATATTGGTACGTAAGATAGTCGGTTGTTTACAAGCTGGGTGTAAAAATGTAAAAAACATCACATTGTTTTTCTGTCCAGTTGATATTGTGCTCGATCCGCGCTCTGTTTGTGAAAATAAGTGGCAAAGTGTAAGATGGCGCAAGTGCCGTCAAAACTTACTAATTGGTTCTTTGAGAAACTTAACCCCCCCTCTCTCTCTCTTTCTCTCTCTCTCTCTCTCCCTCTCTCTCTCTCTCTCTCTCTCTGTGTGTGTGTGTGTGTGTGTGTGTGTGTGTGTTTGTTTTAAAATAATGCTTGTTGCTTACAGAAATAATATGAAATTTATTTTTACATCATTTCAGATTTGCTGCAAAGTTGTAACAATTAACTTCAATCCACGTCGATGGAGCAGAGACTTTTGATACATACTCGTACATCGGAATAAAGAGTTCAAGTTCTGCGTGAAGAGTAACTTCCGTGATATTTTTATATGCTCTCTCATCTAATAGTACGGACATTGTGACTGGAATGCTGACATTACACGTCAGACATTTTCAATTTATGCCGGACTTGTCCGGCTGTCCGACGATTTTTCGGGAACACTGTGAATAATGAAAAGGCATATCAAAACCTTAATCAAAATCCTATGGAAATATAGAAAAAAATAATTGATCACTTTGTTAAAGGATCTTGAAGACAGTTTGTGCCAGGGGCCGTATTCTCAAAACTTTGTAATTTACAACAATTTGTAACTATTTACGTGAATTTGTATCTTAGACTTACACGGTATTCTCAAAACTCTTGTAAGTCTCGGACTTACAAACTCTTGTAACTTTTCACGTAACTTTCCGGAAGTGACGTTTGGTCCATGAATAACCCGCATCGACGTATTTTACTGCCGTGTTTTGCGGCGATAAAACGCTTATCTATACATAAAACTATCTTGAAATGTATTGAGAATTATTCAGAAAGACGTTTTTTTATATTTTCTTACAAGTTTTCGTCGGAAAATCCACTCGTTTTGAATGTGCTTCCTCCGACATGCGAGCTCAGAAATCGGACTTGGCTCCTCTTGTGGGATTCCCCAGCTGGGATTCCCCAAGTTTACCGTTAGCAAAAAGCGCTTTATTTCATTAAATTTACAATGAAAACGTGTGTGAATTTTTCCTACAGTAAGTAGCTTATAATAAACACTCACCACATTGTTCAAATTTGATACTTGCTTGGATTTCATGCTGTCTTAGGATACCAAAGCCATACAAATAAGTTCACACAATTCCTCTCTATATCTATGCCATTCAGTTAGATATAAAAATGTAATTTTTTTTTAATATATAGACGTTGTTATTAAATATGAGTGAGTATATTTGATTTCTACTCACGTTTGCTCTGATTTTTTTAAGATGAAAAATTAATAAATGATATTTTCATGTTAAGCCACAAATAATAACAAAAATTAATTCACACAAATAAGTTGGCCCAATATTTCAAAAATGACATTCAATTTAATATGAACATTTTATTTTTAAATAAAATTGATAATTGTGATTAATTAATGGGTGTTAGTATAAAAGTGAAAATATTTTTTCAGTACACCTTTGTTGTTACCATAAAGAGTGAGTATTTTTGTTTCATGTCAGTATGAAATGCACATTGTACTGGTACAAATGAACATGTACCTACAGGTTGGCTAGCATAAGCAGTAAAAAATTGATAATAAAGGATTTTGTTAATAAATAAAAAAACATAATAATAATAATAATAATAATAATAATAATACATTAGGTTAATGATTACTCAGTCACATTTTCAATAATTTCAGGTATTTTTTGTTTCATATCATATCTACTAATTTACACTCACTGAATACTAAAAACATTTTTTCCTTCTGGATTTTTTCACCAACAGTTGTCATATGAGATGTAAATTCTTTACAAGTGCCCATGTTCTTGTTTTATTTCACTGCAGCTGAGACTTACAAAAACTTGACAAAGATTCATGTAGTGTGTGTGTATAAAATGTGTGTGGGTGACACAGTATACATTCATGAAATATGAATCTGTTGCTGGGTACACCCAATATTATTTCATTTTAGGTGTATTCAATCATTTTGAACCTTGAAAAGTGCTTGAATTTAGTTTTTAACCTGGATGCATAAAGGCAGTAATTCACAGGAAGGGGAGACATTCCTTTTTGGACATTATTTAATTTCTATTTTTTAATGTTTCATCACCACTGTGTATAAAATTTAATTTAAATGATACAGTGGTCGGAATAATTTTGTTTCCGTTGTACACCGGTGTAACCACGTTCGAAATGTTTTAATCCCTATCTTGTGAATAGAAGGGGGCGGACAAACAATGGAGGGCCGTATAAATCCCTTCAAAATTCGAACGCACAAACACNAGCGACAGCTACAAACTACCAGTTTCGGGAAGATGAATTAACATAAATCAGTTGAATTGAACTATTGGCACTGGTCCCCCCCCCCCCCCCCAGTGCCAGTGACCCGTACGTCTTCCTCCCTCACCCCGCAAACACCAACACTGACGCTTAGACACAGCAGAACCAAATCTTCTGTCTCTGCAAAAAGTCTACTTTATGTTACCTTGTGAAAATGATGATAAAAAGATGACCCCTAAAATAAATGCCGGAACAGGTGTACCATGAAAATCTGACTCCTCTAAAAGGTGACTCCCCAGTCAGAATTTCTTAATGAAATTTCGACTCTCTCATGAAATTTTGACTCCCCCCAAATAAACTTTGTAAATCTTATTTTATTTGAGTATATGATTTTTATCTTGTTGTATGCATAATAGAGGATACATTGTTTTGTTTTTTTTGCAGGTGAGAGTTTTTATGAGAAAATAAGAAAATTAATAATGTGTATTCTATCACCCAATAACTCCCCTATGAAAAAGGTATTTAATTGATATTTGGTGATCATTTCAACATCTTTCCTTTTAGTATACTTTATGGAGAATATATTGGAAATATTTGAAAGTTTGATGGTAAAATACTGGCTGCAAAATATGAAAAAAATAATTCACGAAAAATCTTCATTTTCATACCCATGAGATGTGGACTCCCATGAAGAAAAGGCCCTATTTTATATTTAGTCACCATAACATTATGTTCCACATAGTCTGCATTATGATGTATATTTCGTTAGTATTTGAAAATTTGGTGGTGAAAATGATGGTGAAAACTGATAAATTTTAAAAAGTATTCTTCTTACTACCTGTAGGATTTTGACTCCCAGCTTTTTCACAGGGGAGTTATTGGGTGGAAAAATACACATTTTCAATTTTCTAATTTTCTCAAGAAAGTTTTCACTTGAAAACTAACAAAGAGGGCTAATGTATCCTGCATACTACTGGTACAAGATAAAGTCATATAATCAAAATGAGAGTTATAAGGTTTTATGGGAGAGGGGAGTCAACAATTCATGGGGGGAGTCAGATTTTTCTTATGAAATTTTGACTGGTGGAGTCAGATATCCATGAAAGTCAGATTTTCATGTTACCCGGTAACAAATAACATCGACACTAAGGTCAACAAACACGTTGACATGTGCTTAGTCTTGTCTTCAGATTTAAATCTACATTTATTTAGAATCCCCCAAACTTATCAACTTGATGGAGACATATTAACTAGGTTAAAAAATAAAGTTGTAAGTTGAAAGCGAACTCCCTTCAAAGCAGACAATTCTTGTTATAAACAGATTAATGTTAGACCCTGTACACGTGGTGATGGTCGATGTTGCTCCCCGGGGTCTGATACAAGCAAAGTCTGCCCTATCAATAAATCCAGCCTCGGCGATCAAAGTGATTACCAATGTTCATCCGCGCGTGTAGTTGTACCCGTTTACAACACGATGGAATTGTTCTTGTTTTAATGCTTCATTCTTGTGGACCACTTTTATCTTTGATACATGTATAATAAGAACAGAATTTATAAAAAAATAAAACTACAACGTTCGTCCTATAAAAAATTCAACCTCTTCGACCAAATTCATTTTTAAACTTTTCCATGAACCTCTTCGATAAATGAGACGAAATTATCCGGTCTTTAACTTTTGAGCCTTTTTAATTAATTTTTAACGGTTCTTGATAAATACACAAGCGCTGAAATACTTATTTAAATTGTTTGAATATCGAGATCTGTTGAGTGGAATAGGAGAGGCAGCTGATGTAATGTCAAAATAGAAGGAAATTCACTGTACAGTGCATGCAATTTTAGTTTCAGCCATAACATTTGTGATAAGAAATACAAAATACTTCTTTATCCAAAACAAATCCCAAAATAATTCCTTATGAGCAATATATGATGGAAAGAGACATAATCTTGTTTGTGGGTGAATGTATGTGTGAGTGCATCATAAAGGAGAAAATACAGAAAAAAAATGATATGCATTTAAACTTTCAGTTATTATTACTGTTATTATTTATGATGAAATAAATAATCATTTTATATTAATTATTATTGGAACAAGACTAAACATTTGTATTCTATGAGGAACTTAAATAATAAAATATACTTATTTCTTTGGCAAGAAGGTTTTTTTTTTTTAATTAAAATTATGGTATATACTGGTTTTATTTTCCTTTATCTTAACACTGCAGCAAGTAGATGGGACTATGCAGGGATTATATTTTGCAGTATGAATCAATTTCAAAATGAAACAGTAGCAAGAAAACAGCTATAATTGTTATGATCAAAGTGCAACCTAAGCAAGTGTCAGTTTACTCTAAATAAGAACTTACTCTGTAACTTTGTAATAAGTACAATGTTATGTAAGGAAAGCCATAAGTGGAATACTATCAAAAATGCCAATATTTACAATCTTTTACTAACTCACACATTACTAGTAAGTCTTTTTGGTATTTAAAACAGTTTAAGTTATTTGTTTTTTCCATCAGTGATGATTACCTCATTATTTGAACTGAATATCCTTTATTTAAATGGATAAACCGAGCCTTTTAAATTAGTTAAAATACTGTTTAAATATCTAAAATCACTCGAAAGTAGATGATAAGTCATTATTATCATCATTGAACGCTGCCAATCCATTATTATTTACAGAACCTACAAAATAAAGTTAATGAAACTTATGTATAGTTTTAAATGCAGCCATCAGCTGATCGAGGTCACCATGACGTGCCGAAAAGGGGGTCAACATTTGCAACTTTTTTATCTACACGTCTCTATTCCTTTGGCAGCCTCTTGATACTTTTTGATACATAGTGTGCAGTATATCATTTTAAAGCATTTGAAATGTACTTTTTTGTGATGTAGAAGGCATATATTTTCTCCACCACATGTATGGAATAGAGGAATAAGAACCTGAGTCAATGAATTGCAGATAAAAATGGCGATTTTCAGACACACCTTCACGACAAAATCTCACAGAAAATTTGTAAATAATATAATGACAGCAAACATTATACATCAGTTAAAAGACAACTTTGTTCCG